ATATATTTTTCTTCCATGTGGGTCAATACTAATTTTATAATACACTGTACCTTACATGTAAATTGAAAACAACTATGAGCTTTAGCCGTGGTTTACACTAATGCAGTGCGGGAAACGTAGCGATTCCTGTGCGTTTGCCGCACCACATTGCAATTGCAATGCAATTGAGTCCATGCGATCTGGTATGGGGGTCAGCCCTGGTTTACACTTCTGCGGTACAACACATCACATTTGATTCGCACAGGAACCGCACCGCATTCCTCTGCCAATCACATGCGATGTCTGTGCGGGGCGATTTGAGCCACACGTTTTGTATGGCTCAGATGGCATCGCATCCACTCCAAAAAGGCGCAGAACCTTTTTTTTTTCCGAACCTGATGTGATCACCCAAGCAATGCAAATTCTGGTAATCGCACTGCGTTTTGCGACCTGTTTCAGGGTGCCGTGATTTTAACATTGGCACCCGTACCAGATCACATGGATGCTGTGCGATTGCAATGTGGTGCGGCAAACGCACAGGAATTCGCTGCGTTTCCCACACTGCACCACCCTAGGTTCACACCTATGCGTTTTCCACAGAGTTTTGCAGAAACGCTCTATAGTCCATGTAACATGATTTCCTATGGGACAGGTTCACATCTCCGCGTTTTCACCCGGTGAGTTTTTTTTTGGAAAGCGTCATGGAGTTTTTTAAACGCAAAACGTTGCATTTTTTATTCTATAGACTTCAATAGGAACGCTGCAGAAAAGCATGTAATGCATTTTTTATGCGTTTTTTATGTGTTTTTGATGCGTTTTTAAAGTGTTTGGAGAAACACACAGAGTTCCATTTAACATGATTTCCTATGGGACAGGTTCACATCTCCGCGTTTTCACCCGCTGCGTTTTTTTGGAAAGGGTCAGGGACTTTTTTAAACTCAAAAATTTGTGTTTTTGATTCTATAGATTTCAATGGGAATGCTGCAGAAAAGCATGTAGTGCGTTTTTGCTGCGTTTGTGATGCGACGTTGCCTAGCAACAAGAAAAAATGCAAAACGCATCAAAAACGCATGTGCAAAAATGCACTGCAGAAACAGATAAAGTTTAACTGAGTAGGTGTGAACCTCGCCTTAGTGTGAACCAGGGCTCAATGAAGGGGCGGACTGACCATTTGGAAATTCAGGCACTGCCCGAGGGCCCAGGGTCAGTAGGGGGCCCCATGAGATGCCCCTGGTACCTTTTCCATAGGCTTTTTTGAGTTTGGACAAGGACACAGGGGCCCCATGATCCTCTATTGCCCGGGGGCCCCATGAGTTGTCAGTCTGCCCCTGGCTCAATGTAAAATTAATGATACCCCAAAACAGATCAGAAAACGCAGTTCGATTGCCAGAATTCGCATCGCATGGGCCTACCAAGCTGGCCGCAAACATTACAATCTGATTGTACAATCAGATAATAACTAGGAATGAGCTGGGGTCCTCCAAGCTTTGTTCTGTTATTTTCTTATCTATTCTTTGATTTTCTATTCTAGTCTGTTTAATTCTATTCTATTCTATTCTTTTTGAACTTAGAATTTTGGAAGGCTGCTATATTCTAACAGTAATACACATATTCTTTGAAGGATATCAGCAATATGTTTATATTTCGAAATTGTTTTCGAATTTCATTTTGTTTTCAAATTCAACTCCAATTTGATTTGAATTCGATTCGAATTTCATTACATCGGATTCCTTTAAATTCTATTACTATGGTAATAAAAAGATTCGGATACATCCGAAGCTCCGAAAAATTAAAATTTTGTTTTTGGATTCTAACGAAATGAGCCGTACATGTCTATCATGGATTTATATGGACAGGTGGACATATTAACCACTTCCCGTCCGACCGTTGTATATAAACGGCCAGACGGTGGCAGTGCAGGGTCAGGTGGGTGTTTATAAACGGCCTCCCCGCCCCCTGCTTCTGCACGATCCCTGGGAGCGCGCTGCACTGCGATCCGGTGTCCGCTGTGTCCTCCGGACACAATGGAACACCAAACGTCGGACGGGACCTCTGTACGAGGTCCCGATCATGTGATCACTGATTGGCCTATCAGTGATCACATGCAGAGTAGTAAGCAAGATGTCACTTCTGACATCATTGCTTACTACGTGTGAAATATGTGAATGATCACAGAGGTCACATGGTACAGGGCCATTCACAACAGCCTTGTACCATGCGACAAGCTGTGATCAATCACAGCTCACACAGTATTTCTCAATGGCTGCAAGAATGCAGCCAGAGAGAAGGAGAAATGATTGCTTTTACAGCCTTTATGGGTGTAAAAGCAATTTGTGTAAAAAAAAATCTTTATACCCCCCACAAGTAGTACAGTGTCACCATGGTGACACTGTACTGCTAGGGTGACAGTATGGTAAATAAAAAAACATAAATAATAATATAAAAAAAAAAATATTTAAAAATGATAATTTTTGGTTATCAACTAATTTTGTTTTTTTTTTTACTAAAAAGATAACTGAATACATTTTGGCCAAGATTTATGATGAAATATTATTTATTTGCAAAATTTTATAACAAAAACACTTTTTTCAAAATTTTTGGACTTTTTCATTTACATAGCAAAAAAAATAAAAATCCCAGTGGTGAATAAATACCACCAAAATAAAGCTTTATCTGTCTCAAAAAAATGCTAAAAAATTCATATGGGTACAGTGTTGCATGACCGCGCAATTGTCATTAAAAGTGTGATAGCGCTGAAAGCTGAAAATTGTCCTGGACTGGAAGGGGGGGAAAGTGTCCGGACTGGAAGGGGGTGAAATTGTCCGGACTGGAAGGGGGTGAAATTGTCCGGACTGGAAGGGGGGGAAAGTGTCCGGACTGGAAGGAGGTGAAAGTGTCCGGACTGGAAGGGGGGGAAAGTGTCCGGACTGGAAGGGGGGGAAAGTGTCCGGATTGGAAGGGGGTGAAAGTGTCCGGACTGGAAGTGGGTGAAAGTGTCCAGACTGGAAGGGGGTGAAAGTGTCCGGACTGGAAGGGGGTGAAAGTGTCCGGACTGGAAGGGGGGGAAAGTGTCCGGACGGGAAGGGGGTGAAAGTGTCCGGACTGGAAGGGGGGTTAAAGTGTCCAGACTGGAAGGGGGGGAAAGTGTCCGGACTGGAAGGGGGGGAAATGTCCGGACTGGAAGGGGGGGAAAGTGTCCGGACTGGAAGGGGGGGAAAGTGTCCGGACTGGAAGGGGGTGAAAGTGTCCGGACTGGAAGGGGGGGGAAAAGTGTCCGGACTGGAAGGGGGTGAAAGTGTTCGGACTGGAAGGGGGGAAAGTGTCTGGACAGGAAGGAGGTGAAAGTGTCCGAACTGGAAGAGGGTGAAAGTGTCCGGACTGGAAGGAGGTGAAAGTGTCCGGACTGGAAGGGGGGAAAGTGTCCGGACTGGAAGGGAGGGAAAGTGTCCGGACTGGAAGGGGGTGAAAGTGTCCAAACTGGAAGGGGGGGAAAGTGTCCGGACTGGAAGGGGATGAAAGTGTCCGGACTGGAAGGGGGGGAAAGTGTCCGGACTGGAAGGGGGGGAAAGTGTCCGACTGGAAGGGGGTGAAAGTGTCCGGACTGGAAGGAGGTGAAAGTGTCCGGACTGGAAGGGGGGGAAAGTGTCCAGACTGGAAGGGGGGGAAAGTGTCCGGACTGGAAGGGAGGGAAAGTGTCCGGACTGGAAGGAGGTGAAAGTGTCCGGACTGGAAGGGGGGAAAAGTGTCCGGACTGGAAGGGGGGAAAGTGTCCGGACTGGAAGGGAGGGAAAGTGTCCGGACTGGAAGGGGGTGAAAGTGTCCGGACTGGAAGGGGGTGAAAGTGTCCGGACTGGAAGGGGGGAAAGTGCCGGACTGGAAGGGAGGGAAAGTGTCCGGACTGGAAGGGGGTGAAAGTGTCTGAACTGGAAGGGGGTGAAAGTGTCCGGACTGGAAGGGGGGGAAATTGTCCGAACTGAAAGTGGGGGGAAGTGTCCGGACTGGAAGGGGGGGAAAGTGTCCGGACTGGAATGGGGGGGAAAGTGTCCTAACTGGAAGGGGGGGAAAGTGTCCGGACTGGAAGGGGGGGAAAGTGTCCGAACTGGAAGGGGGGGAAAGTGTCCGGACTGGAAGTGGTTAAAAGGTATATACATTTATTTGAAGTTTATATATTTATTGGAAGGTAATACACTATTTTAGTTTTATTTTTTTCAGGTATCACGTGATCCGGAATGTTGGAATAATAAAGTTGGATACACAGGATTGAGCAGGGGCGGACTGACAGCTCATGGGGCCCCCGGGCAATAGGGGATCATGGGGCCCCTGAGTTATTTTTGGTGGACTATAAATTAATAAATTTTTTTTTTTGAACACTAATTTGTGGACTTTAATTTGTAGAATTTTTGGTGTGTTTGGTTTTTGAGTTGTGAAGGAAAAGGCTTCATTATCATTATTCAGCGTCAGGGAGGCTTGCACTTACTTCCCGTCCCAACAACCACGCAGAAGCCAAGAGGAAGTCTCCTTCAGGGTGACATGCCACCTCGTCTCACTTCAAATACCCAACCAGCTCCAGGACTTTTTTGGGCGTAGTTCTACCTTTGATATGGATCAGCTGGATTGTTTTGTCTTTTTTTTTTTTCCTGAACATGAATCTCCCTTTATGAGTAACAGCGAGGAGATGAATGTTGACACAGCACACAAGTGATGAAGCATTTGGTGTGACTCACGTATTCTAGACCTGACTCAGTCGCCCTCGGGGCACAACCTGCATGGACGCCGTTCATTATAACTGGTTATGCAACAAGAACTACTGAAGGATAACAGAGTCCTGTTTGTAACAGTTACACACGAGCTTCTGGAACCGTTATGGTGGAAAACAAAATGCTCCTATTGTTGCCTTTTTGGTCTCAAAGTGACGTGAAACGATATCCTCGTTCTCCAATAATAATCTATACACATCCAGCACTTGGAGCTGTAGAAAAGTCTTCTTTAATCATTTTACTGACAATAAAGCTTAGCTGTAGGCAGGGGCGGACTGACAACTCATGGGGCCCCCAGGCAATAGGGGATCATGGGGCCCCTGTGTCCTTGCCCAAACTCAAAAAAGCCTATGAAAAAGGTACCAGGGGCATCTCATGGGGCCCCCTACTGACCCCGGGCCCTCGATCAGTGCCTGAGTTTCCAAATGGTCAGTCTGCCCCTGGCTGTAGGTAACATTAATATCTCCTGAAAGTGCATCGTTTAGGAGATATTAGCCTTTCTGATAACCGGCGCATGCGCTCTGAAGGAACGGCATAATCATTTGCGGGTGTGATGTCATCGCGGCTCGGCCAGTCGGCTGCCCAGAGCTCATGAATTCGGAAGGAAGACCGGTGAAGTTGGCAGCCCCGGGAGCCGTGACAGCACTCCACTGGAGGGCTTTGTTTCAAGGTAACTTCATAATTCCTAATGTCCTAATGTCCAAGGTAAGCCCTTCATAATGTCCTAATGTCCAAGGTAAGTCCTTCATAATGTCCAAGGTAAGTGCTTCATAATGTCCTAATGTCCAAGGTAAGTCCTTCATAATGTCCTAATGTCCAAGGTAAGTCCTTCATAATGTCCTAATGTCCAAGGTAAGTCCTTCATAATGACCTACTGTCCAAGGTAAGTCCTTCATAATGTCCTAATGTCCAAGGTAAGTCCTTCATAATGTCCTAATGTCCAAGGTAAGTCCTTCATAATGACCTAATGTCCAAGGTAAGTCCTTCATAATGTCCTAATGTCCAAGGTAAGTCCTTCATAATGTCCAAGGTAAGTGCTTCATAATGTCCTAATATCCAATGTAAGTGTTTCATAATGTCCTAATGTCCAAGGTAAGTCCTTCATAATGTCCTAATGTCCAAGGTAAGTCCTTCATAATGTCCTAATGTCCAAGGTAAGTGCTTCATAATGTCCAAGGTAAGTCCTTCATAATGTCCTAATGTCCAAGGTAAGTCCTTCATAATGTCCAAGGTAAGTGCTTCATAATGTCCTAATGTCCAAGGTAAGTACTTCATAATGTCCTAATGTCCAAGGTAAGTTCTTCATAATATCCAAGGTAAGTGCTTCATAATCTCCTAATGTCCAAGGTAAGTCCTTCATAATATCCAAGGTAAGTGCTTTATAATGTCCTAATGTCCAAGGTAAGTCCTTCATAATGTCCTAATGTCCAAGGTAAGTCCTTCATAATGACCTAATGTCCAAGGTAAGTCCTTCATAATGTCCTAATGTCCAAGGTAAGTCCTTCATAATGTCCTAATGTCCAAGGTAAGTCCTTCATAATGTCCAAGGTTTCATAAAGTCCTTCATAATGTCCAAGGTAAGTGCTTCATAATGTCCTAATGTCCAATGTAAGTGCTTCATAATGTCCTAATGTCCAATGTAAGTGTTTCATAATGTCCTAATGTCCAAGGTAAGTCCTTCATAATGTCCTAATGTCCAAGGTAAGTCCTTCATAATGTCCTAATGTCCAAGGTAAGTGCTTCATAATGTCCAAGGTAAGTCCTTCATAATGTCCTAATGTCCAAGGTAAGTCCTTCATAATGTCCAAGGTAAGTGCTTCATAATGTCCTAATGTCCAAGGTAAGTACTTCATAATGTCCTAATGTCCAGGTAAGTTCTTCATAATATCCAAGGTAAGTGCTTCATAATGTCCTAAATGTCCAAGGTAAGTCCTTCATAATATCCAAGGTAAGTGCTTCATAATGTCCTAATGTCCAAGGTAAGTCCTTCATAATGTCCTAATGTCCAAGGTAAGTCCTTCATAATGACCTAATGTCCAAGGTAAGTCCTTCATAATGTCCTAATGTCCAAGGTAAGTCCTTCATAATGTCCAAGGTAAGTGCTTCATAATTTCCTAATGTCCAATGTAAGTGTTTCATAATGTCCTAATGTCCAAGGTAAGTCCTTCATAATGTCCTAATGTCCAAGGTAAGTCCTTCATAATGACCTAATGTCCAAGGTAAGTCCTTCATAATGTCCTAATGTCCAAGGTAAGTCCTTCATAATGTCCAAGGTAAGTGCTTCATAATTTCTAATGTCCAATGTAAGTGTTTCATAATGTCCTAATGTCCAAGGTAAGTCCTTCATAATGTCCTAATGTCCAAGGTAAGTGCTTCATAATGTCCAAGGTAAGTCCTTCATAATGTCCTAATGTCCAAGGTAAGTTCTGCATAATATCCAAGGTAAGTGCTTCATAATGTCCTAATGTCCAAGGTAATTCCTTCATAATATCCAAGGTAAGTGCTTCATAATGTCCTAATGTCCAAGGTAAGTCCTTCATAATGTCCTAATGTCTAAGGTAAGTCCTTCATAATGTCCAAGGTAAGTCCTTCATAATGTCCAAATGTCCAAGATAAGTCCTTCATAATGTTCAAGGTAAGTGCTTCATAATGTCCTAATGTCCAAGGTAAGTCCTTCATAATGTCCTAATGTCTAAGGTAAGTCCTTCATAATGTCCAAGGTAAGTCCTTCACAATGTCCAAGGTAAGTCCTTCATAATGTCCAAATGTCCAAGATAAGTCCTTCATAATGTTCAAGGTAAGTGCTTCATAATGTCCAAGGTAAGTCCTTCATAATGTCCTAATGTCTAAGGTAAGTCCTTCATAATGTCCAAGGTAAGTCCTTCATAATGTCCTAATGTCTAAGATAAGTCCTTCATAAAGTTCAAGGTAAGTGCTTTATAATGTCCTAATGTCCAAGGTAAGTCCTTCATAATGTCCTAATGTCCAAGGTAAGTCCTTCATAATGTCCTAATGTCCAAGGTAAGTCCTTCATAGTGTGCTAGTATGCAAACCATACTAGCACATTATGCCTTTACCTTGCAGGGAGTGTTTTTATCTTTTTTTCTTTTATTTAATGCGGTTTACTACCCTGGCCCTGTTTTCCTGACAGAGGTGCCCCAAATTATCTGTGGCAACTGTTCCAATGAAGTTGTGCGGCCTGGTCACCTGCACCATAGCAAATGATGGGGGGGTCAGCATAAATGGCCCCCTTAGTTGGCATCTGCCCCTGGAATGGCAGTGTTTTCCTGACAGAGGTGCCCCAAATTATCTGTGGCAACTGTTCCAAAAAAAGTTGTGCAGCCTGGTTGCCAACAACCTAGCAACTGATGGAGGGGGGGGGGGGGTCAAAAATGGCCCCCTTAGTTGGTATCTGCCCCCCGGATTGGCCCTGTTTTCCTGACAGAGGTACGTAAAATTATTTGTGGCGATTGTTCCAATAAAACTGTGCGGCCTTTTCACCTGCATCCTAGCAACTGATGTGGGGGGGGGGGGGGCAAAAACTGCCCCCTGATATGGCATTTGCCCCAGGAATGGCCATGTTTTCCTGACAGAGGTGCCCCAAAATATCTGTGGCAACTGTTCCAATGAAGTTGCCTGGTCACCTGCACCCTAGCAACTGATGGGAGGGTTGGCAAAAATGGCCCCCTTAGTTGGCATCTGCCCCTGGATAGAGGTGCCCCAAATTATCTGTGGCAACTGTTCCAAAAAAAGTTGTGTGACCTGTTCCCCAACAACCTAGCCCCAGGAATGGCCCTGTTTTCCTGACAGAGGTGCCCCAAATTATCTGTGGCAACTGTTTACAGGTTATAGACAGCATGACTTTGGTCCAAACATGTCTAAATCCAACACATTGAAAGATGCTATAACAAAATCAGCCTGTATTACATTGTAACCGTAGTATGTGTAGTTACTCATCTTTGCTCATGCTCCAGTGACAACATAACTGTTCATATGATACCAGGGCAGTATTTGGAAACTTTGGGCATGTTTCGATGTTATCGGTTTGAGGTGCTTCTGAGATCGTTCAGAATTCATTAACTGGTGCATTTGACCTGCAGTTGGCCTCCTTTTGCTTCAAGTGTGTTTTTGTATTTCCATAGACTTGTATAAGAATGCAAATTCCACTTGAAGTGAACAAAAGCCTGTTGACACAGACCCTAATATGTATTTTAGCTGGTCCATGGTCAATGGTCTCCAGAGAGACTGCCCCAACCATACACAGTGAAAGATTTTTAACAACCTGTTGCCAGGAGTCAATTTGTGGGTCTTTCCATCCAAGAAGAGATGATGTGGATGAAGAAATGAAAGTGATCCCTGACGTGATGGTAGAAATGCCAAACAGTAGCCCTCAGGTGAACCTCATCCATGTAATGGAAGAGTAAAAATGGGCAGAGACAAAGAAAGAGGATCCAGGTGGTTACAGTGGTGGCCCAGTCCTAGAGAAAGATTGAAGCAACTGTCAGAAACAACCATACAGTACATTCCTCAACAGGCTGCTCATCCTACCATGTTATGTTTGGTTCTCATCTTGGACCAGTGCCCACTTAAAAAGGCGAGTCATGGATTGAGCAAAGAGAGTTGTAATCATCAGGTTTTGGCGTTCGACCTGGGCACTGATCTATCGATACTCTTTGCTAAAGTCAAACAACGCCTCCTGGGTACCATGATACACAAAAAATTGACCTCCATTCTCAATGATATCTAAATATCTGAAAATTTGGAACCCATGGCTTGACTGTATTAACTACTTGAACATTGACCACTCCCTCTTCTCCCTTTAATCAAAGGCAGTAACCAAATAAATCATCAAAAACATTGGACCACACGCATTTACCTTTCCTCCTGCCCCATCATGAATTTCCCCATCCCCCCATTTTTTTTCTTTCTTCTCTCTCCTTTTTGTCTTCTTTTCTTCTTCCTTTTCTTTTACTTCTCCTTCCTTCCCTTTCTACATCCTTTTTCTTCACATTTATTCCGCGTAACTTCACTTATTAACTAGACTTTGATCACCTTCCTTCTGTCCTGGTCAACCACTATCCCTTTGTCCTGGTCAACCACTGTCCTGTCCTGGTCAACCACTGTCCTTCTGTCCTGGTCAACCATTGTCCTTCTGTCCTGGTCAACCATTGTCCTTCTGTCCTGGTCAACCACTGTCCCTCTGTCCTGGTCACCAATGTCCTTCTGTCCTGGTCACCAATGTCCTTCTGTCCTGGTCAACCACTGTCCCTCTGTCCTGGTCAACCACTGTCCTGTCCTGGTCAACCACTGTCCTTCTGTCCTGGTCAACCACTGTCCTTCTGTCCTGGTCAACCACTGT